CATGATACCACATATGTGCCTCTAACATGCGTTTCCGATATGACTGTTTGTACACGAAAGTGAATTATAACATATGATGTTATGCCTACTCCCGACCGTAGCTGCTACCTTGACGTGGTGGTCGGGCTTGCCTATCGTGATGACCCAACCGAGCTATATTGGCTGGAACACATGTTCCTGCAGGTTCTACCATGCCAGGTACGTCGATTGGAGAACGGTAAGACTAAAAGCAGCAACTCAAGGTCTGAGGGTGAAGTCGAACTGCTGACTGTACAGACGTGTGACAGTAGTAAGGTGTTTCCCTCGGACAACCACCATCTGCAGAGATGCTGCCTTCTCACAAGGAAGGAAGGGGTTAGAAAAGGTTGACCCTAAAAATGTCACACCTCACCTTACCCCACGGATTTCTGTCTGCGGCGGTAAGGCCGTTTGACGAACGGAGCTAACACATTAAAAACCTCCCACAAAAAGGCCGTGCGCGACCGGCCTCAAGCAGTTGTCACTTGGGCTCTGCGGTCACGCACCCAGGTCGTTAAGACCAACGCTAATCCGACTTTCTTTTCAGGCTCCTCAAGAAATACCCTTCCACGGTGTGGGCAGCCGGGAAGTGATATCAGCCCTCATACCCGTAACAGCACGCGAGACCAAGTTGGTCACATTCAAATCCTTCCTACACCTCCTAATAACTCTCTTATCTCCACGACTAACCCTTTTCACGTCCCTTCATCACCTCACCCTGCTAGTGCGAACGATTCGAGTACGCGGAATGTTATTCCTGGTCTCCTGAAACCACGCTCCAAACTACACGTAGGAGCTTTCAACGTCCGAACACTGTGCCAAATAGGACAACAGGCTTTCTTAGTTAAGACTTTAGAATTTCGCTCCATCGATGTGTGCTGCGTCTCCGAAACGCACACACAGGATCCGAATAGTGTCATTCATTTGACCGCACCATGTCAAAGTAACGAACCAACTCGATTTACGCTTTGTGTATCTGGAAGCCCTGATGCTGCTTCCCGTGGCCTCGCTGGCGTAGGTATAGCATTGAGTCCTAGGGCAGAACTAGCTCTCTTAGACTGGATCCCAGTAGACAGTCGTTTGTGCGCTGTCCGACTAAACCGAGCAGTAAGGACTCGAAAAGATAGGGACACTCATCGTCGCCTCTTCGTCGTCCCTGCCTACTCTCCCACTGACTGCAGCTCAGATAATGTAAAAGATAAGTTTTACAGAAAGCTTTACGACCTTTCCCGAAAAGCTAGGCGTTCAGATGTAGTAATAGTGGCTGGTGACTTTAATGCTCAAGTAGGTAAACTATGCGAAAGGGAGAGACACCTGGGTGGAACTTATGGTGTCGCGGCTCTGAACATAACGAAGAGCGGAGTCAGCTTAAGCGTAAGCTGACTAGAAGCCTTCGCAAAGATCGTGAACAGTGGTGGGTAGCGAAAGCAAGAGAGATGGAAAAGACAGCGGCAATAGGTAACAGTAGGCAACTGTTCAGACTTGTTAAGGAAACCGGTATTAGAGACCCAACCGTTAGCGAAACAATCTCAGAGAAAGATGGACATATTATTCATTCTCAATCCAGGAGATTGGATCGATGGGCAGAACACTTTAGGAATCAGTTCAATTGGCCTTCAGCCACACTTCGGTTTCCCACGATCTCCAATCTACCTGAATGGCAAGTTAATGTGAATCCTCCGACTCTTTACGAAGTTGAAAAAGCTATAAAAAATCTGAAGCGTAGGGGAGCAGCAGGCCCTGATAGGTTTACCCCTGAGGTTTCTGAGCAGCAGTTTGTTCCGTCCTACTTTATGGCAATGAAACATGGCCGGTGAGAGTAGAGGATATTCGTAGGTTACTAGTATTTGATCATAGGTGTCTTTGAAACATTGCTCTTTTATCCTGGGACCACCGAGTAAGTAACTCAGTTGTTAGGAAACGGGTACCAGGTAAGGATGGCAAATCAATTGAAGTAGTGAAACTTAATCAGTTGAGATGGCTGAGACATGTGTTGCGCATGCCAGACCACCGACGTGCAATGTTTTCTGGTGTAGGAGTAAGTTGGAAGAAAGCTAGGGGCGGCCAGACCAAAACATGGCACAAATCCATGAAGTCACTGACAAGTGGACTGAGCCATGTTGGTAGATGTAGACTACCTGGTCGGGGACCGCGAGATGATAGCAACCGATGGTTAGAGACCTTGAATGACATGGCTAAAAATCGTTTGCAATGGTGCAGGTGCATCCACTCTTTGTGTTCTCCCAAACTCTAATCTTCTGAATTCTTCATGTACTTTATTTTCTTTCCAAATATATTCCACTGGACTATACTCCTTAAATAACATCATCAAACCTTAACGTTTCCTGTCACTAATTATACTTTCACTACTCTGCCACTACGGGATTTGAGACGATAACTGAATCTCTGTGCTAATGTGGTATGGCAACTTGAAATGATGTACGTACGTTCGAAGTTCCACGTTGTTTCCGACTGACTGACTGGCTACTTCCTCGTGACTTATAACTCTATCACTTCTAATACAGATGTGGCCTGCAATGATTGGAGAACAGTCTACATTTACAGTGAGCCAAGTTTCTGTGACAACAATTATATCGGAACATAATTCGTCCACCATCAAACTTAGCTCGGAAGTTTTACTTCGAAGACGTATTTAAGGTGTTCTGAGAATCGTTCGTTCTACCCATACAAGTCTCTGAAGCATTAGCTTCTAAGACCTGAACACTCGAAAACCCTTAGTCGTAGGGTTCGTTCCCCCGTTCTGCTTTCGAGTTTATAACTCCGTAAGAGTATTTTCCTACTCGGTTCGATCCTCAAGCGGCCGATGTGGTTGGATACAAATATTTGAATTACGAAATTACGTCTCTTTTATCAACTTCAAGACCCATCTTGGTTAGGTCTCGCCTCCAACCTACTTGCTGAATCTTAATATTTTTGTGGTATATATCCCTCAAACCTCTTCAGGTAATACATTTCTGATTACAGACTCCACTAACTGCAGATCGTGGGCATGTCTTTTGGCAAGGTCATTGTGTTTCGACCCCTCGAGATTCCAAATAATTAAACTAGGGACGGGTTTAACGCCTTTGACAGTTGTGTTCGTGGCTTTCGATCGCTATGTCAGATCTTGACTGTTGACTGCTTGGAGCTTGCAGATAGTTTATCTCATATCAGAGTCGTAGGAGTCGAGCGAATGACTCACGACAATGTTTGATGATGCCAAACTTTCCCATCTACGATAGGTGTAACGACCGAACTACCAGTATTCGGTTTAGACGCAGGACTGACGAACCAAAACGTATTCGAGTAGGCCAGACTACGCTCTTCTGTATAGACCACTAAGCGTTTTTGAGACACTCGTATTAAATTATATCAAAACGCAAACTCTGTGCTCAATTTATATGGTTCTCAAACGGTACAGCCTGTGCTACACATTCAGAAGTTTCTTTAACGCAATATAGTGCGCTGAGAATCAACAAATATATTACCAACACACGGAATCAAATATCTATCTGCAGGGATTCCAGAAATCCTTCCAAGCAGACAGTCACACTGAATCACGCCGTCACCTTAAGCTTAGTAAAACACCTCACCGTCAATAGTCCGGTAACATGCAATAAAAAATTAGATAACAAAAAGATAAGTTTTTAATAAAAATCACATAATAAAAGCTCAAACGAGATGTGAACAAAGGTTAAAATATATGACATGGAGAAGAAACAAATAAATGAAAATACTGTCCAACTAGGGTTAAATATTGTCTTACTTTGGGACTTTCGCGGAGTAATCTAAAACTCAGAATGTGAGTCCACCAAAGACTTTCCAACTAAACAAGCGCCATTTTGGGTTATCTTTCCTCCTCTTCTATGTTTCCACGTCATCCATTTCTCATCAGTTTCATCATCCACGTTAGAACCACTCAGGAAGATAATGGTATTTTCTGGGTCATTAGTCACTGCTGTAGAAACGTACACACGAGTATCTAGTGATGTATCACCCAAGAATTGTTTCGGGATAGAAATCCCTATTGCATGTTGCACAGTCGGGTGTCTGGCACATGCCACGACAACACGACACTGACGTATGTTACCGAAAAAGCCCTCATCAACATTTTTGTTAGCCAAAGCCATGAGGCTAATTGCCTCCTGGATGAGTATTGTTTTTCCAAAACAACAAAACATGCAAAACCAATGAGATTTAGGCTTTGAGCGCTTTTTATAGACAGTGGGATTTAAGCGGGTACACATCTTATAAAACCATTTCTTACACACATCAAATTGCATTAATTCTTCCACGGGGAATAAGCAATATGGCTGTCCACATTTGCGATCATAGCCGGCCACCTTAAAAGCTAACTAAAGTGGTAACAAAAAAATGGATATGTAAAAATTTCAAACCTTAACCGAATAAATCAAGTCAAAGTCGACCAAGTATGTTTTGATGCAATAAATACACAGAAGCAAAGTCAATATGCCCGACTGCAATACAAATTTGGTTGAAAGAAATTCAATCAAAGTGTAAGCAGTAGTTTCGATGCGTAATTTACGATCAAAACAGTAAATTTAACTCAACGAGCAGTAATATCACTGTCATTTTTAAATAGCGCTCAGGATAGCACTCCATACATTTGTGCGGGGCTTAACCTGATCGTATATCATGTCACAAGCTCTAAACATGAATGATAAGACAGCGTAATCTCTATTTATTAACGGTGGAAGAATATTTAGATTGGCAATATCCTCATTCGCATGAGAGATTACCAAGTCTAACAAAGAAGAACATTGGTTTGAACCAAAACGTGTGGGTTCGGATACATACTGTACTAATGCATTCTCCTTATATATATAGAGAGTGTGGTTGAACTTAAATCAAGTTTATGGCCGTCTTGATGTGACCGCTTCTGCAAAACTTCGCGAATTATCGCGATGACGCACCAATCGTTTTACGACGGTTTGACCTTCAAGTGCTCAGTAACCTCCCTCAATGGACAGTGCCAATGGATCGTTGACCGTTTGCTTACCTTCGGTCGGTTAGATTCTTTTCCCAAAGATGACGGTTACATACTCGTCGGTTGTGGCAACTGCGAAATATTGGACTTTTATAAGATTATTGTTTATGTAATGCTTACAGTTTTTGTTCTCAACAGCCACAAACAGGTGGAAAGGAAGCGTTTATCGTCTGGTTTGGTTCGAGTTTTTGGTCTTCGTCGGTATATACTCCGTTTTATCTGTTACATACAGGTTTATCCTCAGTGCGACACTGAAGAGGTTAGTTAAATTATTCAAGCGTTGATGCTGAATAGCCACATACATAATTGAGGTTTTTAGTTAACGTTTCATTAGTTAAAAATTGAAATTAGTTAGTAGATTTTAGAACTCACTCGTTTGTTTTAACCGTATTTATCGTGATAATCTCGGATTTTATGTCCGTTTCCTACCTTATATATATAAACGTTTTGCCAATATGAAACCTCTCAAGGCGGTCTCCAGTTGACTTGGTGATACACATAGGTCCTGTAATATCAGCAGTAAGTTTGAGTCTTAAAGGTAACTCACATAAAACTTTAAGGGGTCAATATTGTCATAATAATTTGTAGAAGAGACTTCGGAATCCAAGATCGAACCAGATACCTTTAAGGATTTCTCAGAGTAATCATCTCTTTAAACCTACTGTCAAGTAAATTTTCTAACAAAACAAACACTTGCAAGATGCTGGTTGTCTTTCAAACTGAGAATCTAACTCTTGGTGTCGATCTCATCATTCGATGGAATACGTTAAGTTTGGTCTTTACACACTTTCCTATCAGTATTTTGATGCCTTTTAAAATTTATATTTTTCAACACTATCGTTTCAGGTTTGAATTGTCTTTATCAGAAATCGTTATCATGAATGTTACTTATTTTGATGGTCATAAGCTTCCTTAGTTAATAAATTTCTGCCAGAGTTCACGGATCAGGAACCGCATTGATTTACATCTCTAAGTCATTGGTTATTTATGATTCAGTTCCAAGACACTGAGTAGTTTGTCTTCTAGCTGAGATATCAAGTGTGATATGTTCGAATCTCCATGGATTTATGACTTCACGTTACTGATTCACTATATTAGTGACAGCTAACAAGCTTTGAATGGGAATCGTGTCTCTTCAGCAAATCAATGTTCAAACCCCTTACTGGCATCTAAGGCTTTTGGAAAAGTATGATCTAAATGTACTTATACAAAAGACACATTGGCTGTCATGCTAAAATTCGACTTGGAAAAATCTAAATCTCTCTTGTCAAAGTAATTTCCTAATCGATATCTTATAAAAAATTCACTAGCAAGTGTAAACATATGTTCCATGTATTGGCTTTATGAAGGTACTTCACTTAGCGTTTGGCAGTTTTGTAGAGATACGTATAACTTGTCTTTTATGGAGTCAATGGGAATCCGCTCTAAAGAAAAAGCATAATCACAAATCGTAATGAATTGTTTGGTACTTATTCAATCCAGCTTTTAAACATCTTGCTCTTGCAAATTAGTGATAAGAATATGATTCAGCTCAGTAAGCACACGTGTATGTTTCACGTTTACAAGCCAGTTATTAAAAGTAGGTGAAACTAAAGACCCTCAGTTCGCGATAAGTTAACAATACGTGGCGAAGTTGTAAAGAAGTCAATATTTCACATATACCTAACCTTACCATTTTCTAATTATTGGTTTCTTCAACTCTTTGTCGCTGCCTGTTATTTTTTCGAGCTTGGGGGCGTATCTCAATGATTAGACATTCAACTTTCAGCCGATGTGTTTCTGGTTCGAACCCCGCCTCATCTTCAGCTTAGATAACCGCGTCTTATTATTAGTTCTCATACATGGAGTGTGACTCAAAGCCAAGTACACAAATGAGTCGAACGATTTTTTAACGTTAAAAATTTTTGAAATGCTCAGTTTCCTTGTATATCAAGTATGTTGTTCTATTCGAACATTATACTAACGAAGATTATTAGTGCTCTGTAGTATATCATAACAGTCGAGTAATTACCCAAATAGAAATCTCAGTTTTAGCTGTTTCAGATGTTGTAGATATTATTATTAGTATTTGTAGAATTATCCCATAAGTTTACTGATCTGAGTGGTTATGAAAGTTGCCTCAGCATTGATGACATGTGGGTAAATCGTTCCATATTGTATGTTTCAAAATTGAGCTGACCAGCTGTTTTGCGCTTAAACAGTTAAAAATAGTTATACAACTGTAATGACTTTTTAACTAGCGTGTTTACAGTTATATTCAAAGTTATCATATTCACTGTCTATTTTACTGCAAATCGCTTCCCGTTTATTTTCTATGGTATGTTATACATAACTTACGAAACATGATCAATAACTGGTTTAAACAGGTATTTTGAGCTATTGTGCATCTATTGTGGTCGGTACAACGAAACGGTTCCTGTAGCATTCGTTTTGGGCTTTTACGTTTCACTTATTGTTCAACGTTGGTGGGAACAGTTCCTAGCATTACCGTGGCCTGATCGTTTGGCTTTGTTTATAACAGCTTTTTGTCATGGGAACGCTGAACGCCCAACAAGAATTAGGCGAAATATAGTTCGATATATCAATCTGTCTTATTGTATTGCTTTACGTGCAATCTCATCTCGAGCTCGCCTGCGTTTTCCAACAGAAGAACATCTTGTTAGTGCAGGTGATTCAATGTTTTTATTAAATATTGTCATTTTGAAAATATTCATCAATAGGACTTAATGTTATTTTAATCAATTTTCACGCTTTATATAACAAACATACGTTTTAATATTAATGTTTCTGGTTTTGCGTATTTTTGATAAATTCATTTGGTGTAAGTTAAGGGTTTGGATTCTATTGTACTATTATTGCACAACGAAACTCTTTGTTTTCTAGATTTACGCTTGCAATATAATTGTTTTAGTAAATTAGACAATTTATTACGATTACGGGGTTGAATCTGTCTAACAAAATATTAAGTAAGTAATATGTTTGTGAATACCTGAACACTGAGGTAGAGGGGTCCAGTTAACTGTTTGATTATTGATGTGTCAATTTCTTTTTTATTGACCGTAATAATAACAGCTTCTTAATGTGAATGTAAATTATGGTGTTTTTTAGTAATTTTAGAAATTAGTATGATAGCCAAATTATTTCATAGGAATATTTATATTGAACTCTAGATTAGATACTTGATTCCATTTCATTAATTTAATCATCAAAATATATACAAATTTTATCTCCCAAAAACTTAGTGATTGTTGATTTTCAGACAACATGTATCATTGACGTCGTTACATAGTACCTACTGTGAATTTATTGGGTTGTAATTAATTATAATCATGCTTTTTAGAAAATGAAAGACATTAAAAATAATTGAAGTATTAAATCTAATTCTTACTACACAAAAATGTATTCTGAAATCTCATATATAAAGCATCGTCTCATAACTGTCATTTCCCCCGACCGTTGTTACTACCTTGACGTGGTGGTCTGACTTGCCTATCGTGATGAAGCGACTGAGCTACACTGGCTGGAACAACCGTTCCTCAAGGTCCTACCATGCCAGACAGGTCGGTTGAAGAGCGGTAAGACTAAAAGCAACAAATCCAAGGTCCGAAGGTGAAGTCGTACTGCTGACTGCACAGAGGTGTGACGGCAGTAAGATGTTTCCTTCAGACAACCAGCATGACAGCGATGCTGTCTTCCCACAAGGAGGGGTGGGGTTAGAAAAGGTCGACCCTAAAAATGCACACCTTGTCTTATCCCACGGATTCTCATCTCCGGCGGTAAGGTCTCAACAAGTACGGAGCTAACACAAAAATTACTCATAAAAAGTCGTGTGTGGCCGACTTCAAGCAGCTGTCCCTTGGGCACTACGGTCACGCTCTCAGGTCACTATGACCACCTCTAATCCAATTTCCTTTTCAAGTACCTCCGGAAGAACCCTTCCACGGTGTGGGAAACCGGGAAGTGAAAACCGCCGTCATACCTCTAACAGCACTCAAGACCACTGTTTATTTATTTATTTTAACACATAGGTATTGGTACCAGGAGGCACCAAATACATATGCGCCACACGAATCTCAATTGATTTGTGTGAGGGCTGTGATACTGCCCGGGTGCCCAAACCGAAGCAGGCAAGACCACTGTATTCATAATCAACCTCCCTCTTCAATTCCTATTATTCCTCCTACATCGACTTTAAAACCTAAACTTCCTCCTTTGGTTTCTTCCTCAAGTATCACCAAAGCCAACGATTCTAGTGCGCGAAACGCTGTCCCAGTCTACTGAAACCTCGCTCCAAACTACACATTGGAGCCTTCAACGTACGCACACTATGTCAAATCGGTCAGCAGGGCACGCATCTGCTTGCGCCTCACTGGACGCAAAAACGCCACATTAAAAAGACCCATTAGAGCTTAATTGAGTAACGAGAAAAGCAAAAGTAGGTTCCAGTAACAACTGAGGTCACACTTAGGTAGTTCCGAAAACGAGGCTGACTCAGATGTTGCTTGGGAAGATATACAAACAGCTGTGGAAACAACAGTGACATCTATTAGTGATTTAAACCAAAGGGTTACTAAGAACCAATGGATTTCTTCAAGGTCTATTGCACTGATGGATTCTCGTAAACTCATCCCATTAGGCTCTGAACACGAGGATGGGCGAAAGCGAATCAGATCTAGGTTAAGCAAATGTCTAAGGAACGACCGTGAGCAGTGGTGGGCATCTAAAGCAAAAGAGATGGAAAAGGCGGCGGCTATAGGTAACACCAAACAGCTCTACAGACTCATAAAAGAAACTGGAACTAAAAAGTCCAGTGCAATTAAGACTATCTCGGAAAAAGATGACGTTCTTATCTGCTCCCAGTCCAGACGTTTAGAACGATGGGCGGAACACTTTAAGGAGCAGTTCAGCTGGCCTTCAGCTACTCTACAACTACCCACCATTCCCAGACAGTGTGAATGGAACATTGAAGTAGGTCCCCCGACTCTAGCTGAAGTTCATAAGGCTATAGCTAATCTGAAACGAGGTAGGGCATCTGGTCCAGATGGACTGGCCCCAGAAGTCTTTAAGTATGATGGTCCAATCTTAGCGATTAGGTTGACTAATATTTTGGCTAAAATCTGGGAGTTGGATGTAATCCCATCTGACTGGTCACAATCACTTATCGTCCCAATATATAAGAAGGGATCGAAATCGTCCTGTGACAACCATAGAGGGATTAGTTTGACTAATATAGTATCTAAAATACTAGCCTCAATAATTATCGGACGCCTAACTAAGACTCGTGAACTGCAAACACGAAAGAATCAAGCTGGCTTCAGACCTGGTCGTGGATGAATAGACCACATATTCACCATTCGTCAGGTTCTAAAACACAGGCATACTTATCAGCGTCCGACAATGGTGGTCTTCCTTGACTTAAAAGTAGCATTTCACTCGGTAGACCGAGAGGTTCTGTGGCAGTGTCTGTCATTGAAAGGCGTACCTCAGAAGTACATAAACCTTGTGAAGGCTCTTTACTCGAACACTACTAATCGAGTGAGAGCTTATGGCGAACTGTCATCCGCTTTTGCAACCTCAAGTGGTGTCCGTCAAGGCTGTCCACTTTCTCCATTTTTGTTTAACTTCATCATAGACCTCCTGATGGAAATAATATTCTCGTCGACTGAATTCTCCGGCATTGATCTCCTACCAGGAGGTCCACTTATCGACTTAGAATACGCAGATGACATAGTCCTGTTTGGTGAAGACGCTGATAAAATGCAGAGTCTTTTGGTAGCACTGAGCAACAATGCCAGAATGTTTGGGATGCGCTTCTCTCCCTCTAAATGCAAGTTGTTGCTTCAGGATTGGTCTGCGTCAACACCTGAACTAAGGATAGGGAGTGAAATAGTCGAACGCGTTGACAACTTCACTTATCTTGGAAATCTGATCAGCCCAAATGGGTTGGTGTCTGACGAAATCTCAGCACGGATTCGAAAAGCTCGTTTGGCTTTTGCCAACTTACGTCACCTATGGCGCAGGCGAGATATCCGTCTATCAATTAAGGGACGAGTATACTGCGCGGCAGTTCCTTCCGTTCTACTATACGGCTGCGAAACATGGCCATTAAGAGTAGAATATACTCGTAAGTTACTTGTATTTGACCACAGATGCCCTAGAAATATTGCTCGAATCTGCTGTGATCACCGGGTAAGTAATAGTGAGGTTAGACACAGGGTATTAGCAAATGATGGTAAATCAGTTGATGAGGTTGTGAATCTTCATCGACTGAAATGGTTGGGCCACATGTTGCGTATGCCTGAACATCGATCACCACGACACACAATGCTAACCGGTGTTGTGGATAGTTGGAAGAAAGTTAGGGGTGACCAAACCCATACGTGGCATCAGTGCTTGAAGTCACTAACTTCTGGTCTCAGCTATGTTATTAGATGCAGACTACTCGGTTGGGGTCCGCCTGACTATCGTAACCAATGGTTGGAGACTGTGTGACATGGCTCAGAATCGATCATAATGGCGTTGGTGTATACACTCTCTGTCTTCCATAAATTAAGAGATTAAAATCGCTTCATGTCTTTCTTTCTACGAACTAACTTTCTTTCTGTACCATATATCTATATGCAATCTTTCTTTTATATACTACTACCTTTGATGTGACTACTTCTATAAATCCAGTGTCCATCTTGTTGTGCTAATGCGGTAAGGCTACTTGGACAATCCTTTCCAGCTCTTTCCAGTTCTTAGTCATCCTTTTCATATCCGCTTCTATTTCCCGACGTAATGTGTTCTTTGGCCTCCTTCTTTATTGCTTTCCTTCAGGATTCCAAGTTAGCGCTTGCCTCGTGATGCAGTTTGATGATTTCCTCAATCTTTGTCCTATCCATTTCCACCGTCTTTTCCTAACTTCCTCTTCAGCTGGAAGCTGGTTGGTTTTCTCCTACAAAAGGCTGTTGCTGATGGTATCCGGCCAATGGATGTTGAGTATCTTGCGTAGACAGCTATTGATAAATACCTGTACCTTCTTGATGATGGTTGTTGTAGTTCTCCAGGTTTCAGCTCCGTACAGTAGAACTGCCTTGACATTCGTATTGAAGATTCTGACTTTGATATTGGTTGAAAGTTGATTGGAGTTCCACATGTTCTTTAATTGAAGGAATGCTGTCCTTGCTTTGCCAATCCTCGCCTTTACGTCTGCATCTGAACCTCCTTGTTTATCGACGAAGCTTCCCAGGTATGTGAAGGGTTCTACATCTTCTAGAGTTTCGCCATTGAGTGTGATTGGATTGCTGTTCTCCTTGTTGTGTTTGAGGACCTTGGTTTTCTCTTTGTGTATGTTGAGGCCTACTGATGCAGAGACTGCTGCTATGCTGGCTGTCTTTATCTTCATTTGTTCGTGTGTATGCGATAGGAGGGCTAGGTCATCTGCGAAGTCCAGATCGTCTAATTGGTTCTGAGCTGGTACTTAAATCTTATTTTTTTAAAAGTACTCGTAATTCCCAAGTTCTCACACGTGTTTCAATTATACATTTTAAACTCTATGTCATGTAATCTCTGAAAGAGTTAATGAAATGTACACTGTATATTTGACAAATGTACATTCCATTCGCATATAAGTATTGGACTGATTTTATTTTGGTAATCTATCATTTGAAAGTAAGCACATAAATAAATCCATTTCTTTACTGTGGACGGACTCGTTAGTTGGAGACAGCCTACAAAAAACCTTGGATGTAGGTTTTTGTTAACACTCGTCAGTATAGCATATTTACTGCCTCAAGGAAACTGATAATTCATGTGGGTTTCGAATTTCTTTCACTCAGTTTCAAAGTTAGTGTTTTGTCACTTAACTATTCGGGATACGACTAGACTGTGGAACAGTTAAGTACGCACTGATTGTTTATTTATAATGACCAATACTATGTCTAGTTCTTGTTGCTGATGGAACTCTACCTATGAAGTTGGAGTTTATAATGGTGTTTTATCGGGACGTGGGTTTGGGTTATACTCAGAATAATCACAATGCAAATTGATTCAAATCTGTGTTAATTCACCACCAACAATTCAATAATTAATTATTAATAAACCGAGCTATTTGTAAGACGTCCGTTAATGCTGAAGTAGATTACTTTATAGTATTTAATAGCGATCAAGTGTGGAATTTACATTATATTTTATCTTAAAAAGAGCTAGTCAAAGGAAATAGTCACTTTTATCTCATAGTTTTCCTTAATACTGAAGTAGTCACTAAAAAACCAACATACAAACCAGCAGGTGTTAGCCAAATAGGATTTATTTGCTTATACGTACACTTAACTGAGTTCATATCTAAGGTGTATAGCATCCATTCTGCATTCCACTGCTGACTAGTGCCATTAAAATTACTCATTTTTCATGAGGATAATTTCATGTTTCAAAGTGTCCCTACTGCTTTTTCTCTTTTTCAGGATTGATGACACAAGAAGAATTGGATATTTATCGTAGTACTCAACCCAGTGAATATACTTTATACTTTGTTCCATTAGTATGGGCCCTAGATATGGTTACTAAAGCTCGTGAAGAAGGCTACATACGCTTTGATAGAGCTGTAGAAATTTTGACGAATGAAATCACATCATTTCGTGGTAAATTAGGTACAATATTTGCTTATGATTGGGTTAATCCTCCACTCGTATATACCCAAGTGAGTTGATCAGTAGTAGTAAAGTAACATGCAATAACAAAACGGACTATGTACTACTTTTTCAAGACTTGGTATTTTTTATGGTTTACTGACAGATAATTATATTTTCCTTATGGCTGTTGGTCAAACAATTGGAAATGTTTAAAGTGCGACTGACAAATACATAATTACCAAACAAGCCACATATTAGGATCCGAGCGGGACTTAATACCACCTTTCGTCAAACGATTCTAGTCATGTTTGCGTTAAATAGAGAATATTTCCTATAGAGCGGTGTTTCACCAGTTAAGGTCACTAATTTAAAGGGTCGACGTCGTTACAACTGCTCCGATTTGAGCAATGTTCCACCAGTTTGAAAGAAAGATAAAATCAAGTTCATGGAGTATAGATGACTTAGTCACTGGAGTTCAAACCAAGGGATCTCTGGTTTAAGATCTGCTTCACACTAGCTTTAGGCTAGGCGGTTGTATCACTAGCCCTAACAATTTGAGTGTGGTTTGAAGGCAAGTTCATGAATAGGATTTTAGTAAATAAGTTAATATCTTGTTATTCAAGAGGCATATTAAAATCCTATAAGATTAAATCCGAGCTTTTTTGTTTGAATCCTTCAATTTGATTTTGCTCTTATCACTTCAAGTCTTTCTAGTAAACATAAGTGGCCATATTCACCACCGACATGTTGATTTAAACTCTCTCTCTCTCTCTCTCTCTCTATATATATATATATATATATATATATATATATATATATATATATAGTTTCTAACATAACGGTTTAAAATACTTTTCTCAGGTATAAAATATTAGTTAACCTAGTTTCAGCGATTAGTTTAACTAATATTTTAGCCAAAATCTGAGAGTTGGATGTAATCCCATCTGACTGGTCGCAATCACTGATTGTCCCAATATATAAAAAAGGTTAAAATCATCCTGTGATAACCATAGAGGGATCAGTTTAATATAGCATCTAAAATACTAGCCTCAATAATTATCGGACGCCCAACTAAGACTCGTGAACTGCAAACACGAGAAAATCAGACCTTGTAAAGGCTCTTTACTCGAACACTACTAGTCGAGTGAGAGCTTACGGCGAACTGTCATATACTTTTGCAACCTCAAGTGGTGTCCGTCAAGGCTGTCCACTTTCTCCATTTTTGTTTAACTTCATCATAGACCTGCTGATTGAAATAACGCTCTCGTCGCTGACTAATTGACTGATTGACTACTCAACGCAGCCACAAGCAGTCACACTCAGCAAGTCTGGAGTGAAAATCAGTGAAAGGAAAGGAACCCACATATTTAAGTCAGTAGGTTGTCTCTGTTTGTCCACACAGTGACTAATCATATTTTAATTTCACTGCTACACATCAGTTTTCTTTATGCGATTATACATCCAGACTATTTGTCATTAACCTAGCTACAATCCCATATTCTTTAATAATCCATATATCTATATAAATATTTTTATCATGATATGTAATATATGCCTTGTAAATTGTCAATTAATTGGCTCACCTACTAATTGCTTTTACACATAAAAATAAGATACGTCAACCAAACAAATCAATCGGTTTCGATGTTTACTCTAAAAATAGGGTTACTATTTTAGGTGATGTGTAGTTGTGCATCCTCTGGTGGTTATCTTTGTGTATATGTATAATTTAGACACCATTTATTTATAGATAGTTGAAAGTTGGCGTAAATTATGGGGAAATTTAAATATAATAAACCAGTTAAATTTGTAATGTTTCGGTATTTCTACTTAGTACTGTTAGTTGGATCTGTTTTCTAGAAGTTACGAACTATGCGCAAGCATATATCTAATGCACATTGATTTTCGACTGTACTCTAGGTGATATTACCCTGATCAAAAACTATCATGACCATGAGTTTGTAATCTTTTGTGATTTCGAAAAGTTTTTAGACCCCAAGCACTTTTAAAACCATCATTTGGTCATTAAAAAAGGGCTGTCAGTTTCATCATATACTTTTTTCGCAGGTACTTTTCAGTTTTGCAATGAATCGTTAAAGCGGAAAACTACAATCCACCACAATATTCGGGTTCTACTTCACAGTGGGTGGGGCAGGAATAGATTAAGAGAGCTTGGAGCGTCCGAACCAAAACGTGGACTCATTCCATAGACATTTACTGTTAGTCTTGGTCATGTTGGTAAGTGCAGACTACTTGGTTAGGGCTGGTGCAATGATCGTCGTATGGATTCCGTATGATGTTGACGACCTTCTCATCCCGACCGTTGCTACTACATTGAAGTGGTTGTCGGGCTATCCTATAGTGATTAACCAATCGGAATAAACTGATTGGCACAATGGTTCCTCAAGATCCTACCACGCCAGACAGGTCGGTTGAAGAGCGGTAAGACTAAAAGCAACAAATCCAAGGTCCGAAGGTGAAGTCGTACTGCTGACTGCACAGAGGTGTGACGGCAGTAAGATGTTTCCTTCAGACAACCAGCATGACAGCGATGCTGTCTTCCCACAAGGAGGGGTGGGGTTAGAAAAGGTCGACCCTAAAAATGCACACCTTGTCTTATCCCACGGATTCTCATCTCCGGCGGTAAGGTCTCAACAAGTACGGAGCTAACACAAAAATTACCCACAAAAAGGTCGTGTGTGGTCGACCTCATGCAGTTGTCCTTTGGGCACTGCTGTCAACGCTCTCAAGTCACTAAGACCACCAACCCAGGTTCCTTTTCAGGTACATCTAGAAGAACCATTCCACAGTGTGGGAAACCGGGAAGTGATGACCGCCCTCATACCTATAATAACGCTCAAGAATCTCAGCTACTCCATTGTGTCGAAGTTTCCATAAATTTGTACAATCCACTCTGTCAAACGCTTTCTCATAATCAAGGAAGTTGATGTGTAGTGACTAGTTCCGTTCAAGTGATTACTCAACAATGATCTATAATTTCGTTATTTTGTCGATGCCCTATCGATCTTTACGGAATACAACTTGTTGATCTCAAAGTTAGACGTCTACTGAATCTTATATCTGATTCAACAAAATTCTGTTGAAAACTTTTCTTACTGTTGATAGTAGTATGATGTCTCTGTAGTTCTCACACTTTCTCAGATCTTATTTCTTCGATGTCTTAATGAAGTAACTTTTACAATCTGTTGGCACTTGTTCTTCCTCAAAAGTCTTTATCAATAGAATATGGAGCATGTTTGCAGTTGCTTCTATGTCTGACTTCAGTGCTTCAACGGGTGTGTTATCTAGTCCTGATGCTTTCCCACTCTTGCTATGTCTGATACTTATATTCACTTCTTCGATCGTTGATCGAGTGAAATTCATTGGGAAATCAGTGTGTGGTGCTTCGACGTCTGGTGGGTTCAGCGTAGTTGTTCTATTAAAGAGCTATTCGAAGTATTCTTCACATCTGTTCCTCTGTTCTTGAATCCCAGTGATTGGTTTGCCTTCTGTGTTCTTGACTGGTCACTTTAGTTTACTATATTTCCCTACCAGTTTCTTCCTTATACCTTGTATTTGTCACACATTTCCTTCACTTGCATCTTTCTCCGCTACCATTGCTAGATCTTACACTTATTTCTGCTTGTCGGATCTACTGTTCTTCTTCACTCTCATGTTTTTTTCTGTGTATTCGGTCTGTGCCATGACCTTTTCTGATCGTGTTCGACTGTTGTTAATTGCTGCCTTGTTCGTCCTTTCTTGAATCCTGCTCACAGTTTCGATGGACATCCATTCCTTATGATGATTCTTGCTGAGGTGACGTAAGTTGGCAAAAGCCAAACGAGCTTTTCGAATCCGTGCTGAGATTTCGTCAGACACCAACCCATTTGGGCTGATCAGACTTCCAAGATAAGTGAAGTTGTCAACGCGTTCGACTATTTCACTCCCTATCCTTAGTTCAGGTGTTGACGCAGACCAATCCTGAAGCAACAACTTGCATTTAGAGGGAGAGAAGCGCATCCCAAACATTCTGGCATTGTTGCTCAGTGCTACCAAAAGACTCTGCATTTTATCAGCGTCTTCACCAAACAGGACTATGTCATCTGCGTATTCTAAGTCGATAAGTGGACCTCCTGGTAGGAGATCAATGCCGGAGAATTCAGTCGACGAGAATATTATTTCCATCAGGAGGTCTATGATGAAGTTAAACAAAAATGGAGAAAGTGGACAGCCTTGACGGACACCACTTGAGGTTGCAAAAGCGGATGACAGTTCGCCATAAGCTCTCACTCGATTAGTAGTGTTCGAGTAAAGAGCCTTCACAAGGTTTATGTACTTCTGAGGTACGCCTTTCAATGACAGACACTGCCACAGAACCTCTCGGTCTACCGAGTGAAATGCTACTTTTAAGTCAAGGAAGACCACCATTGTCGGACGCTGATAAGTATGCCTGTGTTTTAGAACCTGACGAATGGTGAATATGTGGTCTATTCATCCACGACCAGGTCTGAAGCCAGCTTGATTCTTTCGTGTTTGCAGTTCACGAGTCTTAGTTAGGCGTCCGATAATTATTGAGGCTAGTATTTTAGATACTATATTAGTCAAACTAATCCCTCTATGGTTGTCACAGGACGATTTCGATCCCTTCTTATATATTGGGACGATAAGTGATTGTGACCAGTCAGATGGGATTACATCCAACTCCCAGATTTTAGCCAAAATATTAGTCAACCTAATCGCTAAGATTGGACCATCATACTTAAAGACTTCTGGGGCCAGTCCATCTGGACCAGATGCCCTACCTCGTTTCAGATTAGCTATAGCCTTATGAACTTCAGCTAGAGTCGGGGGACCTACTTCAATGTTCCATTCACACTGTCTGGGAATGGTGGGTAGTTGTAGAGTAGCTGAAGGCCAGCTGAACTGCTCCTTAAAGTGTTCCGCCCATCGTTCTAAACGTCTGGACTGGGAGCAGATAAGAACGTCATCTTTTTCCGAGATAGTCTTAATTGCACTGGACTTTTTAGTTCCAGTTTCTTTTATGAGTCTGTAGAGCTGTTTGGTGTTA